CCCCAAAACCCCAAAACCCCAAAACCCCAAAACCCCGAAGAATTAAGATAATATTGAAAATGGAGAATTTTGGAAAACTACCTGGCAACAGACTTTGTAAGTAGATGAGAGAAAGGAAAAGGAAGCAAGGAGAGGGCTTAGAGATGGTATTAGAGGGTTATGATAAGTTTTGATCATTTTTGAGGGATAATCTTAGTGAAATTGGGGAGGTTTTGATAGTCATCAAAATTCCAAATCAACACTTAATCTTGAATATAGATGGAGCAGCTAGGAGTACAAGAGGATCAGTATTAGTTCAGTGTAAATCTCTTTCTTTAATGATCTAATTTATATTCTTACACAATTTTGCATCCCATTTTAAATATTCTAACAGAATTTAGCATCAAAAACTCTCTCTGAGATAAAAATCACACAGTCACCTTACGATAACATGGCATGAACACCTTCCAAGCCTCCTGTGTCAGGTTTGTTCTTCAGATAACATCATAGACGAAGTTAAGGCTTTGTTCGAGCAGGTGCAAGACATCATTACTAATAAAGAATCTACAATTTTTAGTCAGTTAGAAAATAATTTCGATAAAATAACTTCTGAAAAGGAGAATAAACCTGTCTATAAATTTGACAGAAACAAAGAGCTCGACTCCTTAATCGATGAAATTTCTAACCTCAAGACTACCAATGAGATGATATCTTTGAAGCAGAATCATGACCAGGTGAAGTCAGCCCAGGTATGCTCTTGCTAATCTCTTTAGTCCAAGAAATCATGCATTCCTGTGCTGAAGAAGTGAAATTTCTCAACGAAGCAGCAGGATTCTTCAAACTATGGGTATTCTCCTCACATCCAGAAGAATACTAAGGTGAAGAAGAAATTGTCAAACGGTAATTTTACTGGGAAGAATTATGCCAAAACACCTTCAAGAATTCCTTCTATGAGATCTGCCAAGAGCTCTCAGAAGGGTTCCCTAAAGGGCTCAAAGAAGGTCCTCAGATCTATTGAGAATAAGTTTGTAGGTCATCAGACCAACGTGAAGAGGCAATTGAAAGCAAAGCCTGTAGGGAAAAGCTTCTCAAAGCCAAGCGAGAAATCAATTAAATGCTTCAAAATTGACACTCAAAATTTGGATTGTTTGAAAAATGAGGATCCTCCAACCCCTCGGCCTATCTTGAAGGAAGTGAACCAAACAGAGAGACCAGAGAGGGAAATCTGTGAGAATTCTAAATTTAAAGAAATCAAAACTCCAAGCTGCACTGTAGTTAAGAAGGAAAATGTTAAGGTTTCTACCCAAAGAGACTCGCTTAAAGCCAAATTTAACTTTAAGAATAAGGAGACCTATGAGAAGTTAACCGACAATAGGGTATGACAGTTCTGTAATCCATAGAGTTCTTCCAGTTATCTTCTGGAAAAATAGAGATTTAAGGAAGAAAGAGAAGGAAAAGCAGAAATCTGAATGCAGAAATACTCCTTCTAATATATCAGCTCTGTCACAGAGTATATCTGAGTTACAGAAGAACATTTCCTTTAATGTGGAAAATGCCTATAGACGGTCTGAGTAAGTCCTTTACACCTGACTCTAGGTTACAAAGTACTTCGTTGTACAAGGTCCAAAAGCCTGTGAATGGCATTATTAATTATTCCCAGCAGAGAAGTATGCTGTCTACGTTTAATCAGACTATGAAGAGTCGTTGAGAAGGTCCCAACAGTAGTATGAAGATTATTGATTATCAAGATTCAACTTTGTAAAATTAAATTGGGGTTTTGGGGTTTTGGGGTTTTGGGGTTTTGGGGTTTTGGGG